CCAGGTCAATGAAATGAGGACAGTGATACAAGGTCAATAACATGGGGACAGTGACACAAGGTCATTGACATGAGGACAATAACACTAGGTCAATGACATGAGGACAGTGACACCAGGTCAATGACATGAGGATAGTGACACAAGAACAACGGTATGCTTACAGTGACACCAGGTCAACGACATGAGGACAGTGACACAAGAACAACGGTATGCTTACAGTGACACCAGGTCGATGGCATGAGGACGGTGACACCAGAACAACGGTATGCTTACAGTGACACCAGGTCAACGACATGAGGACAGTGACACCAGAACAACGGTATGCTGAAAGTGCCACCAGGTCAATGACAAGAGGACAGTGACACCAGGTCAATGACTTGAGGAGAGTGACACCAGGTCAATGACATGAGGACAGTGACACAAGGTCAATGACATGAGGACAGTGGCACAAGGTCAATGACATGAGGACAATAACACTAGGTCAATGACATGAGGAAAGTTACATTAGGTCGATGACATGAGGAAAGTGTCACCAGAACAATGACATGAGGACAGTGACACCCGGTCAATGACATGAGGACAGTGACACTAAACCAATGGCATTATTACAGTGACACCATGTCATTTACATGAGGACAGTGACCTCAGAACAACGGCATGCTTACAGTGACATCAGGCTAATGACATGAGGACAGTGACACCCGGTCAATGACATGAGGACAGTGGCACAAGGTCAATGACATGAGGACAATAACACTAGGTCAATGACATGAGGAAAGTTACATTAGGTCGATGACATGAGTAAAGTGTCACCAGAACAATGACATGAGGACAGTGACGTCAGAACAAAGGCTTGCTTACAATGACAATATGTCATTGACATGAGGACAGTGACCTCAGAACAACGGCATGCTTACAGTGACATCAGGCCAATGACATGAGGACAGTGACACCAGACCAACGGTTTGCTTTCATTGACACCAGGTCAATGGCATGAGGACAGTGACACCAGACCAACGGTTTGCTTTCATTGACACCAGGTCAATGGCATGAGGACAGTGACACCAGACCAACGGTTTGCTTTCATTGACACCAGGTCAATGGCATGAGGACAGTGATACAAGGTCAATAACATGATGACGACAGTGAAATCAGGTCAATAACAGGATAACAGTGACATCAGAACAACGGTATGCTTACAGTGACACCAGGTCGATGACATGACGACAGTGACAACAGAACAACGGCATGCTTACAGTGACACCAGGTCAACGACAATAGGCGGTGACACCAGAACAACGGTATGCTGAAAGTGCCACCAGGTCAATGACATGAGGACAGTGACACCAGGTCAATGACTTGAGGAGAGTGACACCAGGTCAATGACATGATGACAGTGACATCAGGTCAATAACATGATGACAGTGACATCAGAACAACGGTATGCTAACAGTGACATCAGGTCAATGACACGAGGACAGTGACACCAGGTCAACGACATGAGGACAGTGACACCAGAACAACGGTATGCTGAAAGTGCCACCAGGTCAATGACATGAGGACAGTGACACCAGGTTAATGACTTGAGGAGAGTGACACCAGGTCAATGACATGAGGACAGTGACACAAGGTCAATGACATGGGGACAGTGACACAAGGTCACTGACATGAGGACAAAAACACTAGGTCACTGACATGAGGACAGATACACCAGGTTGATGACATGAGGAAAGTGACACCAGAACAACGGCTTGCTTACGTGACACCAAATCAATGACATGAGGCAGTGACACCAGAACAACGGCATGCTTACAGTGACACCAGAGCAACGGCATGCTTATACTGACACCAGCTCAATAACATGATGACAGTGACACCAGGTCAATGACATGAGGACAGAGACACCAGGTCAATGACATAAGGACCGTGACACCAGGTCAATGACATGAGGACAGTGACACCAGGTCAATGACATAAGGACCGTGACACCAGGTTAATGACATGAGGACAGTGACACCAGGTCAATGACACAAGGACCGTGACACCAGGTCAATGACATGAGGACAGTGACACCAAGTCAATGACATAAGGACCGTGACACCAGGTCAATGGCATGAGGACAGTGACACCAGGTCAATGACATAAGGACCGTGACACCAGGTTAATGACATGAGGACAGTGACACCAGGTCAATGACACAAGGACCGTGACACCAGGTCAATGACATGAGGACAGTGACACCAGGTCAATGACATAAGGACCGTGACACTACATTAAGTACATACGGTGACATCATATAATGTCATCTGATAATGCTGTGAGATAATTCATCACGGACAATTACTTCAGCAAACGCTACGAAAGTACCTTTTTGTACGTGTATATGCTTTTTTGTGCTGTAATTCCATTACCGTTAAGTATTTGTTTTATAAAGTCTATTCAGACTATCAATGACACATACTCATACTCCACACAAGCGCTTGATATCGAAGGTGTTCGAGCTAAACATCGAAGTTGTATTTCTAAATAAACGCTTTGTATTTGGATACAAATAACGTTCTTGCATCTGCATGTATTGTTCAAAGTCATAATGACAGTCCACTTTTCTTACGTACACTTGGTCAGCGAGCACGTACGTTGTATATCACTATGCAGATAAAACGGTAAAACAAATTACATTTTCTTTCATCACAGATTAGCCGAATGAGCCTTTGGAACGTTTTAGTTGCCTGTATATAGCACGTATTGATACGTATCTGGCCATATAACCATGGATTATACTTAAAATATTCGTAATCTTATATGAACTGCCGTGTATGAAATAAAAGACCAGTTACATGTCATTTACTTGTAAATGATAGCATTCGTAATTTCTCTTTCGGTTCACAGTGATTATATATGAATGTTGTAGAGACTGGATGTATTAATTTTCAACTCATTAACTCACTTTTTCAGATCTTACAGCGTAAAACATTGGTTAGAAAACCCTCACATCACCAGATCTAATACAACGTAAAGCATTGGTTAGAAAAACCCTCACATCACCAGTTCTAATACAGCGTAAAACATTAGTCAGAACACCCTTACATCACCAGATCTAATACAGCGTGAAACATTGGCTAGAAAACCCTCACATCACCAAATCTAATACAGCGTAAAACACTGGTTAGAAAACCCTGACATCAACAGATCTTATACAGCGTAAAACATTGGTCTGAAAACCCTCTCATCACCAGATCTAATACAACATAAAACATTGGTTGGAAAACTCTCACATCAGATGTATTAATTTTCAACTCATTAACTCACTTTTTCAGATCTTACAGCATAAAACATTGGTAAGAAAACCCTCACATCACCAGATCTAATACAGCGTAAAACACTGGTCAGAAAACCCTCACATCACCAGTTCTAATACAGCGTGAAACATTGGTTAGAAAACCCTCACATCACCAGATCTAATACAGCGTAAAACATTGGTCAGAAAACCCTCACAGCACCGTTTCCAATGCAGCGTGAAACATTGGTTAGAAAATCCTCACATCACCAGATCTAATACAACGTAAAACATTGGTAAGAACAACCCTCACATCACTAGATCTAATACAGCGTAAATAATTGGTTAGAAAACCCTCAAATCACCAGATCTAATACAGCGTAAATAATTGGTTAGAAAACCCTCAAATCACCAGATCTAATACAGCATAAAACATTGGTCAGAAAGCCCTCACATCACCAGATCTAATACAACGTAAAACATTGGTAAGAACAACCCTCACATCACTAGATCTAATACAGCGTAAATAATTGGTTAGAAAACCCTCACCCCACCAGATCTAATACAACGTAAATCATTTTTTAGAAAACCCTCACACCACCAGATCTAATACAACGTAAAACATTGGTAAGAACAACCCTCACATCACTAGATCTAATACAGCGTAAAAGACTGGTTAGAAAACCCTGACATCAACAGATCTTATACAGAGTAAAATATTGGTTAGAAAACCCTCAAATCACCAGATCTAATACAGCGCAAACATTGGTTAGAAAAACCCTCACATCACCAGATCTAATACAACGTAAAACATTGGTTGGAAAACTCTCACATCACCAGATCTAATACAACGTAAAACATTGGTAAGAACAACCCTCACATCACTAGATCTAATACAGCGTAAAACACTGGTCAGAAACCCCTCACATCACCAGTTCTAATACAGCGTAAAACACTGGTCAGAAAACCCTTACATCACCAGTTCTAATACAGCGTTAAACATTGGTTAGAAAACCCTCACCCCACCAGATCTAATACAACATAAAACATTGGTTGGAAAACTCTCACATCACCAGATCTAATACAACGTAAATCATTGTTTAGAAAACCCTCACACCACCAGATCTAATACAACGTAAATCATTTTTTAGAAAACCCTCACACCACCAGATCTAATACAACGTAAATCATTGTTTAGAAAACCCTCACATCAGCACTTGAAGAAAGTACGCAGAATACTGCTAAGAACCCCCACCCCCCCACCCCACCACCCACATTAGACACTCCCTCAAAACATTGTTCGGAAATTCATCAGCTCAAAGGATCTACCACAGCGAAACAAATTGCTTTAGAAACAAGTTACAAAGTCAGATCAAATATAGCAGAATATATACTAAATTGAAAAATGCATAATCAATGATTTGCTATTCTCACTGTTAAGAAACCATTTGTATTTCATACCATTTATATTTCCAGATCTAGCGGCGTTTAACACTAATTAGAAAAGTATTTATACCTTTTTGATTAGATACAGCACAGAATATGTAGTTAAAAAAAAAAACACATTAAAACATATGGTCCTGAAATGTGCTTTAATAATGAAAAACTATTCTCTGTGGTTACTTTTACCTCACAGAAAGGAACTTTTGTTGCTCTCTCAGTTGCAGATTTTATATCAGTATTTCGAAAAAATGAAAACTAATATGATTTATTTGCATTTCAGGTTATTAAAATGCTGGTTGCTATCATCATCATATTCATCGTTTGCTGGGCCCCTCTACTCATCAACAACGTCCTGGTGGGATTCAAACTGTTGCCTGACCTTAATATCAACCACCACAAACATATTCGTGAGGCCCTCCACATCATGGCGTACTCAAATAGTTGTGTCAATCCAGTGGTCTATACGTTCATGTCCCGTAACTTCAAGGAAACGTTCAAACAAACCCTGTGTGGCTGTCTGCGCAAGCCCAGACGTTACAGGAAGAACACTTTGGAAGCGGGAACTTCACTCCAAAATGGTAAAACATACAATACTTGTATTAACGGAGAGACCAGCGTGATTGTCAATAGAAACGCAGTCGAGTTGTCTAATTGTCGATACGGAACCAACGCCGAATCCGTGTAACACAACAGTACATGTTACGCTATACTACAACATAGTGAACTCGTACGAAACTGTAGTAAATGAGAATAAACTCGTGTTTTTAAATTGCAACATACTGTGAAATTAGATATTTTCGTGGGGCCCACATTTCGCGGTTTCCCGAAAAAAAAAAATCGTGGGTACATGTATTCGTGTATTACGAATACCCACTCATACGGAGAAAGTATTTATGTCAAACTTTTAATTACTGCGTGGGCCTATGCATTTTGGGGGATTACCCCACGAAAATGAGTGAGTTCACGGTAGTGTGAACTTATGCTGTACTTTGGTACATGACATCATGGTGAACTCGTGTGGTACTGACTGTACAAAAGAACGGCAAAATGAAAGTTTGAGTAAACTATAAGGTACGCGATGAGGAACAACAATTTCTATTAGCTACCATGTATATGTTAGATATATCGGAGCAATGTCAAAACTACGATAGCGTGTGAACGAGACTACACTTACACGAAAGCTACATGTAGCATGGAATTCAAAAGAACACAACAGTTTATTTAAAAAAACATGATGAAATAAATAGTCATTGTTTCAGAGGAATGCGATGTTATTTGTTTTCTCATGTGATGTCCAGTAATTACATTATTAAAAATAATATTGTAGTAATGAAGAAGTTCTTACAAAAAAAAAGTATTGAATGGCGATGTGCCTTTTTTCTTTATTTCATGATCAGCGAGAAAATAAAGGGATTACTATACTTTATTTGATCTGTGAAAGGACATCAACATTAACATCCTCGACTGGTATTTTGCGAATGAAGTAGTGGTGTTTTACCGGTGCCTCCTCCACACATTTTGTGGAGGGTGTGGAGGGTGACCTTTTGACCTAGATATGCATGTATGACGCAATAGGGGAGGGAAAAACCCGTGGAATGTGTGGAGGTGATACCGGTTAAACAGACCTTAGACCTATATATGCATGTATGACGCAATAGGGGACGGGAACCCATANGGTTGTATTTAAAAAACAAGTATTTTCAAAAATGTAATAAAAAAAAATGTGGAGTGATTGAATGTTTTTTTCGTCAATACCTTAGTACATAGGACAGGCTAAGCTTTAAATACATGTGATTCAAACTCTGTAATCATATTGGTGTAAGGAATGAAATTAAGTTTGTCAAAGTATACAACCTTCCAACCTATACTGTTAAAGGCATAACGATGTTTAACAAAAGTAAAACTTTAAAACCAAGAAATATACACACAACATTTAGCATTCATAGACAAGATATGCATAGTAAGAGGTAGTTTTTGAGTATTTAAAAAACAAGTATTGTCAAAAAACTAAAAACCAAGATTTGGAACGGTTAAACTTTTTTCATAAATTTGCATAAAATGTTTTAAAATAAAACTTTACAAACTTTTTTTTCATCAATTTGCATAAAATGTTTTAAAATAAAACTTTACAAACTTTTTGATGATTCGACTAGAAATTTACATAAAAGCAATAAATGGTTTAAGGAATAAAGATAGACCAACCAAATTAAATAAATTCCAAATATAAATCTTTCTCAAGTTATGTTTGTAAAAACTTAACAATGTTAGATAAAAACAATTACAAGACTTTTATAATCAAGAAATATGTACACAACATTTTGTAGCATAAACAGACTTACACAGTGTGAGGTAGATTATGGGAATGAGTTCTAAAAAGTGTTTTATCATTTAGTTATCATAAAATGTTTCAAAATTTAACTTTAAACACAAGTATAGTGGATTAAGTACATGGGATGCATTATACAATGATTTGAAATAAAACTTTTGATAAATAGATAGTTGATTCAAGTACATAGTGTTCACTCAGCTTTTACTACAAATAAACAACATCTGTTATACCTCACTGAAACATCAATAGATCCAGTCTACTGAATGTAACCTTTGTCAAACAAAAATTCTAAAGATGTCTAAACTCCTAGATTTCAATATAGCCTAAGACTAAGTCTAGTACAATGTCTATTCATACCATAGTCAGAACATTTTAACGACATGGGAGTAGGCCTTCCGCGATTTTTAAGGTAATCATTGTGGTTGTTTGCTGTGTAGATATTACAAGGTACACCATTGCGATAATGAGAAGCTGATCAAGGAGGTTGGTCGTACGACTGGCATGAAATAAAAACACGAACACATAAGCGAATTAGTGAGGATATTAAAAGATCTTTGGAATGAAAAACAATTCCCCTATGACGATTCAAGGTACACCATTGCGATAATGAGAAGCTGATCAAGGGGCGTTGATATTTCTTGATAATTCAGGATGAAAAATCATATCGAGGAGAAAGCCTATGTTTTGTTATGTTATGTTATGTAACGTTGAGGGATAACACCAGATTGGAAGGAAATGTCTTTATTTAACAATATGTGGACTTTCATACTAACAGTAGGTGATGTAAAGATGGCGATGAGTTAAAATGAACTCGTAAGGTCTCATAGGTATCTAAACACCCTAACAAAGAGTCGACATTTGGTGTATATATATGGAGACTACACAAATGGCTCAAGGGACTATTAATCGCATAGTCAACGACAAAATCCTTCTGACAAACATACCACACAGTAAATTGTTGTCTAGGTACTAAGCAACTCTTCCCTTCAAGAAGATAGGCATGATATGTAAGAATGGGAGGAGGGATAAAACGAAATTAGAGGGAATAGTTTTACTTAGAAATGTGTTTCCTTCTTTGGTATATATAGTCATTTAACTACGTCAGGTAATTAAGTTACCTGATCTTATACACAACAGCCACCATACACCCACAGGTCACTACACAAGTCAATCCCCCACCAATCCAAACAACAAGATAAGTACATTCTATATACATCAAAGCTAGGATTTCCATCTCTACCTACAGTACTGATAAATTATTAGTTCTCTGGAAGAGTCAACACTTAAACCGTCTCAGCCTGTCTGAGACAATTTCTCATTTTCGTCGTACAAGTCCAATCAAATGATTGGAACAATTTCTTTTTTGATTTCAAATAATATAAAAACTTCAAGAGACCCAGTTCAGTTGACTTTTTTATACAAAGTAACCTACAACATTTGTCTGATTTCAAGATGCCTTAAATGATCTAACTGAAATAATAGCTTTGCATAAGTCAAGTGGAATAGTTGCCAGTCTTGTACTGTCTATATTGCAAGTAAAAAGGTCAACACAATTTTTGTAAACGTGTATGGAACTTTATAATAATAAAAAAAACACAGTATTTGTAAAACAATTTCAATCAATAAACGATATGGAAAAAGGTTTTTACAGTGTGTGACAAGTTTGTTTTAGTATTCATGAAGATTTACAACAACGAAAGTCTTTTCGAGCTAACCCTAACCCTAACCCTAACAGGTATGAGTTAAATTAAAGTATTTTGTTAAAGAAATTGACACAAAAGTACCTTGACAAACAACTTTTCATTAGAGATGTTATTCAAAAGTATACTTATTTTTAAATTAAACCTCTGACAGATGTAAAATAGTTTTAAATGCACAACATTTATAAAACAATTTAAATTAGGAAACGTTATGTAAACAGGTTTTTGCATAGTATGTGACAGGCTGTTTTAGTATTTATGAAGATTTACAACAACGGAAGTCTTTTCAAGTTAAAATTTTAGCAGGAACGAGTTAAATTAAAGTGTTTTGTTAAAGTAATTGACACAAAAGTATGATGACGGACATTTTATAACATATTTTTATTCAAAAGTATACCTGCTTTCAAATAAAACCTCTGACAGATGTGAGCTAGTTAAAAATTCACAGCATTTGTAAAAACCATTTTAATCAGAAAACTTAACGAAAATTGATTTTTACATAGTATGTGACAGTTTGTATTAGTTTTTATGAAAATTTACAACAACGAAAGTCTTTTCAAGTTAAATTATTCACAGGTATGAATTAAATTAAAGTATTTTGTTAACGAAATTGACGCAAAATTATTTTGACACACTTTTCATATCATATTTTATGCAAAAATGTACCTATTTTTAAATAAAATCTCTAACAGATGTGAAAAAGTTTAAAATTCTCAGCATTTGTAAAACCATTTTAATCAACGTCGAGGATTTACAAAATTTTCAAGTTACCCTTTCAACAGGTATGAGTTAAATTAAAGTATTTGGTTAAAGAAATTGACACAAAATTATCTTGACAAACAACTTTTCATAAGATATGTGAAAACAGTGAACACCAACAACAAATATAAGATACAAGATACATCAAAATCGATTTGACTTTTGTCATATTCCCATCTCTAACCAGAACACTGATAACTTCTAAGTTTACAAACAAAATCTGTCAACATGTTAGGTGTTAGCATAAAAATGGAAACAACATATACCATTTATTTAACGATTGTTAGAATCCAACAATTGAAAAAGAGTTTCAAAAGAAAATAATGCTTTGTTCTTACACTTTTTCTCGGAGTAGTACAGATACAACAGTAAAGTAAGTAAATTTGGTTACTAAACGAATGTGATAAAGTCTCCGTTAGAATACATATGTAAATAGATGTATACACTTCTCTGTATTGAGATATCTATAGAAACAAACAAAAGTTTCCTATTTGAATCAATATGTGTTAATAAAATAAAATAATCTTTAAAAAGGGGAAAAATAAAAAATTAGCATTTGACAAAGTGTATGACAAAGAAAAGTTCTAAATACGCTGTGATCGAAATTTACGCTACAATTTAGCTAATTGATATTTAACTACTTTAACAAATGGATGTTTTTGTTGATACCTTTCAAAAGTATAATTGCTTTCGGCTCATTTTATTTGTTTACCTGATATGGCTACTTTTATGACGTTAGTACTGAACATGTATATTAGTATAAAATGCAAATAATTGTCGGTTGCAGATCTTATGGGGTTGGGTTTTTTTTAATCGTAAAATATTCTTAAGTGTTCGATGCTGGTGATAAAATACCTAATGAGACAAAAAAGAATCCTATGCCGTAGAGATGGTTAACCATTAAAACCGAGAACAAGTTACTTACTCATCCATTGCATTTGAGTTGACAGAATGGAATACTCACTAGTCTACAGGCGGATACCAGAGTACTATATAGAAAACTCAAGGTACGAAGTATCAAATGGAAGCTCTCGAGAAAATTGCAAAATTCATGCTGAATGGCTTGCTCAACATCTTGCAACATGATTTTGAGACATTTAGAAGACATCTGACTATGCTAAGACAAGTCATTTCTCCGGCTATATCTTTAACAAGAAAACGAAATTGTCTTTTGAGGCATCATAGTTTACTGCCTAGATTATTAAGGGAGTATTATCTCAATCAAACGACCATTCTTGAAATTCGAAACGCAGACGAATAGATTCGTGTATAACATTTACATTCTATCTTCGAGTCAATACCACACCGAAAGATTGTACGGACCCATCTTTGGGAGGATGCGATGCGTGGTTGCCAATGATCTTTTTGAGGATTAAGAATAATCAGAAATTGTTCCTGAAGTTGAACTAACAGAATATTGTTTGGAAAACGAGGAGAACAGGGTGCCATCCTCTGGCATACCGTAAA